CGATAGAAAAAAAAAGGAAAAAAAAAAACTATAATAATGCCTTACAATTTTAAGAATTAACTATAGTATAAGAAGCTAATTTTTATAAATAAAACCAAAAATAAAACATAAGACCATATCCCACAAACTATAATTTTTTATAATTCAACTATTTTATTTGAATGATGTTTTTTTAATAATAGTTGAATTATAAAAAAATTAATTTCAACCCTTACAGATTAATTATTTTTATATTAATTTTGCAAATATTTAATTTTTAAGACAAGGATAACATCATCTTATTTTGTTACTTGTTCAGTAAAAAAAATTATTTCATGTGATTTTTTATTTCTTTTCAAATTCTATATTATCTATTGCTATGTTTTTTTTAGTATTTGTTTAAAGATCTTTTTTCACGCTTCTTAAAACATTTATTTTATGCATACTGTTACACTAAAAATTTATATTAAATTCTCTATAATTAAAATGAGAATATCTGTTATTTTTTCATTTTTTTCTATCTAAAATTTAGGTTTTAATATCTATTTAAATAAAAAGATAAGAAGATTGGTTTTGATTTTAAAAGATTAATGTATAGTATTTTAGAAAAATTACAAACTCTTATTGTAGGCTAAAAACTAAAAAAATATGAGAGTTAAATTATTAGATTAGACATTATTCACTATAAAAATTTGTCAATATCATGTCATATTTTAAATTTAATTATTTAAATATTATTTTTTGCTTTATTTTATTATCAGTTTAACACAAAAATGCTATTACTACTACTAAATAGACTTTACTTTTTATATTGTAAAGATACTTGAATTCTAATAGTATAAAGTTTTAATTTGAAATTAAAAGTTGAGGTTTATTTTATTTTAATTTTAAGAATTTAAAGTTCTATTTACATATCAAATAAAAGTTTAACATCTCATTTATTAATAATGTGTATACACTAGAAACAAAATTTCTAGTGTTAATATGCAAGTCATCAAATAAGCATCATCTGATATAAATAAAATTTGTTAGTAATACCAATATATAAAAAATCTATTAGTGTAAATAACAAACAAAAAATTATATTGTTTATTCTAATAATCTCTTTTGAAAGTCAAAATTTAGCTTCTTATATTTAAGTTAAAGCATAGTATCTATTTTTATCACAGTTAGTAATGCCAACATACTACCTTTTCTTTCATAATTTTTTAAAACCAAAATAGATAACAATTTAATTTTCTTCAACTAAAGTAAAAAATAAATTATTGATATTATTTTAAAATATATAATTAAAATTTCAAACTTCCTATCTTTAAAAATCATTTATGAAATAGAATAAACTAATTTCTTATATGAAAATAAAACAAGTCTCTTTGTTAATAATTTTTTAATATTTTAATACTAAGCAATTCATTTCTAATCAGTTGAGTTATTCTAATGATATTACAATGGAGTTTTCCTTCCCTAAGATCTTATCTAAGGCTTTAACGCCATCTATAGAAGTTTCTATAATTTGTACCAATTAAGTTTTTTAAATCTAAATCTTTTAAAATTCTATAAAAATCTTATTCCTTTATCAACCTCTAAAAAACTCTAATTGTTCTACTGATAAAAATACATTCTCAAATTGTTCCTATCCATTGCTAATACCTCTTCATAACTTTAAAAGAAATATGAATCCAAGTTTAATAAAAATTTGTACATATAGGCAGCATTTAAAGGCTCATATTTCAAATACCAAAAAGCCATCCACAATACAAACAAAGATAAATACATCTGTTAAGACTTCTTCAACAATCAACTTATATTCCAACTAAAAATGGAATGGCATTCAAATTTTCCACCTATGTTTGATAACTACAAAAAATCAAAACATCAAACCAATAACTTGTATCAAATTTTGAGAATGAGTCAAAAAATGCTTTAAAGAAAACCGAATTATCTCCTCAACAAGTACTTTGCTCGGCCTCTTGTTATTGAATTAAAGCAGCAATGAATCAAGTGTGTCACAGAATGATGTAGAGAAATGTGGAAGCATCCAAAAGGCGTCTCAGCCTTGGCCCTCACTCCTCAATTGACAACAACAATATGTTTTAAGATGACCCACCAGGCCATTCATGCATAGAACAACAGAATAAGCTTCGCCAAAAAACAAATCCCTCAAATGGGAAACTCATTTCCGATTTCCACGCTGCACTAAAACAAAATAGCGGTGGTGAATTGTTCTGAAAGCAACGAGGAAAATCAGCTGCAGAGGGTGCACCGACACCGATTCTTCCAACCTCTTCTAGGTCTTTCTGGAGGATCCAACGCCTCGCCATCCTTTACATTCCGTATAAATGTATCACTGTGATCAACCAACTTCATATCTTGGATCGCTTTCGCATGCTCTTATTTACTTCTGCACTGTGAGAAACTGAGCATAATTCTTCCATCTAGATTGTTTTTGTGATCGAGCTCACTGTCGTCGAATTCTCAGCCAAGTTTTCGCTAAATCACGTTTTTTCTGCAGTCTAGGAGATGGCTCTGGTTTTGTCACCGTGGTTTGGGCGAGGGTGCGCCAGGCGTACCAGTTCACGCTTGAACCGACCTTCATGTTCACCGACCTGGTTATCGTCAAAGTTCCGCTGCAAAGACAGCCTTGTGCGCCAGTGAGTAGCCCTTGTTCTTCCCTGCACAACAACCTTCGTATGCTGAGATGGGATGAGACAGCTGAGGCTCACACCTTCAAACTTCGCCTGCCAGGTATGTATGGGTGGGAAACTCTCTTGGTGAGCCACTAACATTTTTACTACACCTCGGTCCAGAACTTAATTTCCCCCAACTGTTGTATTATTAATAACTGTTGTATTCTTCGACACAAGTTGTCCATGGAGTGCAACCATCACTACCCTTGTGTGCGCTATATATGACATGATGTTACGACATGTACAGGTATGAAGAAGGAGGAGCTGAACATCCAGATAGAAGATCGAACTCTCTACCTCAGTCACAACAGCGAGCCCAAAATGGGTACCAAGGAGGGTGAAAGTTCGTCTGACTCGCAGTGCACGGAGAAGAAACCTGCAAGTTGCACCTTCATGCGGACGTTCAAGTTGCCAGAGAACGCAGACCTGGAGCAGATCAAAGCTAATGTAACCAACGAGACGTTGACCATTACCATACCCAAGCTCACCATGAAGTCACCGGAGGTTCGTAAGATCAATGTGAGAGATGGAGATGGTGTTGCCACTTCCTTAACTGCTGCATCGGAGAAGAGCAAAGCCAAGGCTACGGATGCATCCGAGCCCACCTCGAAATAGATATGCACAACCAGTTGCCACTTTTCAGTGCTGTTCAGTGAGGTCGAACCTTGAGGACTTCAAAATAAGACTAGGGCATGGGAGCAATACAGTTATTCAGTTGTGAATTATGGTAGCATGGTAGTGTGGGTTTCAATGCCGTGGGCTACCTGTCTGTGTTGCTAATGAAACTTCGGTTTGTTTTCGGAACATGTACCACATACACCTAGTGTGGATAAGATGGGGTTCATATTGTTTTATTTTTTATTTATTTATTTTTGTTTCAGGGTATGCTCTGAAGTGGATTGAAATATATCAATAAATCACAGAATCAGATGGTATAAGGATTTTACAAATTTGGATTTAAAAAAATCAGTTTCTGTAATAGTATCCAGAAGTTCTTTTTCATTGTCTGGATAGGACATATTTGTAATAGGAATATTTAAGAACACTCATTGTTTTGCATGCTCCAACTTCAAGTGATTACATCTTCATTATTTCTACTTTTAATATTTTTTTCATTTTTGTTGCTAAAAGAATAGTACTTTTTAACCAATTTATTATGTGTATGTATATATATATATATATATATATTCTTTACTAAATTGAAGTTTATGACCAAGCTATTTGCAAAGTTGTTTCATGATAAGCAACTTCATAAATTAAAAATAAAGTTTTGGCTCTCGGTAATGTTACACAAATTTTCAGAAATCGTTACAAAGTTTTATCAAGAGTTTAAAAAATATTCCAAATTTGTCTTGTGATTATTTGTTTAAATATTTATTTAATTAACCAAAGTATAATGGTTAGTTTTATATCTATTTTTCAATAAATTTATTTTATGCACACCTCGTCCAAACTGTTACACAAATTTGATGCACATTTATAGAGTTTTTCTCTTAAAAATTCTTAGTTGAATAAAATGCAAATAATGTTTTGGTGATGTGTAACCTATGAAAGCTCTGTATTAGAACATAAATAAAATGAATTAACATGTTCTCTGAGGTGTAAATTACATTGTGGGAAAAGAAATACTATTCATTCATTTTTATTTAGAAACATTAATATTATTTATGTACAAAAAAAATAGTGACAAGATTTCATTAAATATCATTAAAACACATTAGCTGAAATAAATATTTACTATGATTTATCTATAAGGTCCTCTGTAATGAAATGGTATATGTGTTATCACGCAAATTAGATTGAAGATAGTTAACATTTAATTCAGATTATATCATTTTTCACTGTGAGAAATTTTCCTTAAGAATGATTATAAGCAATCTTGAATTTTGAAGGAAAATTTGATAAACTATTACATCCACATGTGAGGAGCATTGTAAGATAAATATTGTTCCATTGTCTTCATTTGGATCGTTAAAAATCATGCAACTTGTGCTCTGCTATTCGTTTCTGAATGTGACATGGAGTAGTTTAGCAAAAACATTAAGCTGAATGCACATCGCTAGTACCACAATCAATAGGGACAACATAGATAAGCTTAAGAAAGGTAACAATGCATCCAAAAAGGTTTAAAATAACACATTAAATCACAGAATTTCAATAAATAAAGCTCCATGTATAAAACACTAAAATATATTTTTTATATTTCTGTGTATGGTTATAGCAGGGGACATACAGAGAAAAAAAAAAAAAAAAAAAAAAAAAAAAAACCATGTCCGGCATCCACTACATAGATGCTCAAACCTGAAGGATTTTAAGAGCTACTGCTTGCTTCAGCATCTCATATAACTATAATGATACCATTTCCGGTGTTTACAATATAAAAAGTCAACGACAAGAAACGTTCCGATTTCCAAGCATTCCAGCTAGACAATTGGACGGCTGCCATGGTTCTAGTAAAAAATAAAAATATAATATTTTATTCAATTTTCTGATACAAAAAGAAAAGAAAAAAACTGCTATGTTATCCGGTACAAACCTAACCAAATTTAAGAGCACATGTGCCGTACAAGTGGGTGTCCTCGATCTGATTGCCCAGATGGCAGTTGTAGAGCATTTTAAAAGTATCTGAGACAAGCTGTATAAAAACAGACTAATCCCATCAGGATCATGTTCTACTATCTGAACAATGGAGGCAGAACAGCGTGTGAGTCGACATCCAGCGGCTCCAAATTTCTGCAAACAACAAAATCAATTGTAAGTCAAGGATTCGACATTTACAGTAGTCTGACAAAGATCGCAGGTTCAATTGATAAGAAACAGCAACTTGGTGCGCTATCAATGAGGGCGTAATGTCGCGGCATCAAGCTCAGCATAAAAGGTAGTGTCTAATCCTCTCATCGGCAGGGATCCTAGTCATTCACACATACGGCTGATACCACGTAAAAGATTTACGCTAAATGTATCTGAAACACAAAAGTTCGAATAAACAGCACACCTGCAAGTGTTACGGCCATTCTCGACTGTGCTCGGGACAAACCACAACCGCCGAAATGTGGAAGTCTCTAATTGCAGGAAGAACCCATTGCTATTTCCGTGCACCCATTTCCTTGATCCAGATCCTTTCCAAACCTATCACATGATACCCACGTGATGAGTACGTGATGCCCATGCAGATACTTCGGACACCATGAAACTAGAAACACACATCACCAATTATTACGATATTAGGGTCACCTATAGAAATATATGCCAAGTACTGCATCCTCTCGCTATTAGGTCAACTGCGGTTAACACCAAGCCGAAGTATTGGAACACACATCAGATCACCTGGGGAAATGCAATGCTCTTCTTTGCCACAATAAGGCACGCAGCCGTTGCGGATGATTCAACAACATACTGTCGCAAGAATCCCGCACAACTGTTTAAAGTGTCGGGGGATTCAAATGCCTGAAGGAACACCCCATAAAAATTTAATTCACATTTCAACATAATAGTTTTAACGAGATCACCAACGAAGTCCGAATTTAAATTTTCAAAACCAAACATCCAATTACTTCAGTAGTTTAAACATCTTCATACGATGCACTTATCTTACTGTTACAACTTCGGCAAATGGTATAACAGTGATAATCTGTAGAACGAGCACGTGTTACCATTCAAGGTAAGCATTCACCTCGATTGTTCGCAACTCGACACAGGTCCATAGATTAACTTCAACAATACCTTTTCAACAGCGACATTGGGTACAGTTTCCTTAGTCGCATCTTTCCCCAGGCACAAACGGACATTAGCATCTACTGTTCCATTTTTATCATTCCACTCTTTCAAGGCTAATGCAACAGTTTCTTTGGCAAATTTTCGTATTTCATCTGAAGTACTTGGAGGAAGTGCCCCATCCACAACCTGCAACACCCACATGCATCGTTTCCGTTAGTTCCATTGTAACAAGCAGCAGCGTAGGCATACTCCCTACTTAATGAGCATGATGTGCGGCAAGAGAAAATTTACCCCATCTAGTCGTTGGGCATCAGGCTGAGACACATCTGAAGACCCATTCGACTCCACTCCTTTCTTGTCCTGCTGACTTCGCTTTTTATCTCGCACTATTTGGGTTAGCCTTTTGACTTTAGTAGCAACTTCAGAACTGCTAGGGTTTTGAGCCAAAGCTTCTCGATACGTAGCCAAAGCCTACAACCAAAAGTAGACAATCTCATTGAATTGCGATCATTACAAACACAAGGAGTAAAAGTAGTTGTTTTGTTGACAATAACAGGGTATAGGATAAGTAGAAGCGGACCCACTTATAAATGGTGAACCCTAGAAGTGCCATAACCTACGAACCAATCTTGCGTTCAACAGTAAAGACCTTGGTTTGAAATTCGTGGGCAGCAGCATCTTGATCAGCTAGAATGTTCTACTGTTCCGGTTTAAATAACGAAATCTAAACTTTCAAAAGACTGTTGACAAGTGAGAGACGGATGTTACAGTGACAGGAAAATGTCTGTGATGGGCATCTTCAAACACGAATAAAGAAAATGCTGGAGCAAGACCTGTGTCGAAAAAATTCAAAACTTAGAACAACGAGGTTTAATCGCGAAACGACCTCAGTGAAGCAGCGGATCTAAATATTACCTCGTCATAGCGTTCCATAGCCTCCAAGGCACTTCCTTTCCTGAAGAAACCCTAGCCCGTGCATCCAACCACAACCACCCTGCTTTAATTCTTTAAGGTGAACGACAGGAATTCGACAGGGTACAAGCAGTTGAGCACTGCGAGGCAATGCATAGACAAGAAAGTCTGCAAAAGCAATACAGAACAAACACTACCAGAAGAGACTGAACTATGATCGGGAGAAATAAGCAGAGGGCAGAACCTTCTCCCAAGTGGGCTTCAATTTTATCGTCGTCTCTGCGTCCGCGAGAGCCTTGGTTAACTTCATCAAGTTCAGAAAAGCAGCCGATCGGTTGCTGCAAAGAAATAATCACCAACACAACCGTTACCTAACATCTCAGAGAGAACTCAAAACTCAAAAACATAGCGGATCCCCTCGTGTCACGACAGACAATTTGCTAATCAAAATGTGCAGCAACGCGGATGCCGAATCGAGAGATGCTGGGAGTTGCTAGATAACCTGTAGAGAGCAGGATTTTCCGGGTCTAATTTGATAGCCTGAGTGTAGAGAGCAGCGGCCTTGAGATAATTGCCGGCCTTGAAACAGGCATTGCCTTGGTCTTTCAAGGAAGCTGGAGCGGGCTCCATGGAAAGAAACTTCAGTACACTAGTAAACAAAAATAAAACAAAAACAAAAAAAAATAAAAGAAGTAGACAGGGAATGAGAGGAACAAGAGTAAAGAGAAGCGATGCGGGAAGAGAAAGGGGAGCGGCAACGGCGGCAGAGACGAGAATCTGATGAGCACAGAGCAAAGCAAAAGCGAGAGAGAGAGTGAGCGAGCACAGAATTAGGGCTGAGTTGGGGCATGACGACGACGACAGAGCTTCACAGCTCCATGCGACGACAGCCCTTTGAGTTCGTCCCCCGCTCGAAGAAGAAGACGACGACGAAAGCTCGTCCACGTCACCTCACAGTTCGTTCATGTTTCGTTTCAAAGATTTTAACAATCATTTACAGTTAAAAAGAATGTATTAAGATTTGGGAATTGCTAGGTGGACACCCCCTTTTGTTATTATAGAATGGACACCCCCTGTACACACAGTAGTATCATTCTTATTTGAATACTTTTTGATGATTACGTTGTTATTACTGAGAAGGAATATGAAAACAAAAAATATATATATTATATTATATAAATTGATTTCTTATTTTGTGTCTAAATGATGACCATTACATACTAAAACTTAGATTTTTTTTCTATGTCAGAAATTTATTTTTATCAAATTATGCATTTAACTTGGAAAAATAACCAAAAGTGTGGTAAAATATATATATATATATATATATATATATCATCTAAAGAAACTTGACATGGGAGAAGAAGAGATTCACCTTGCAATTCTTTATGATTTTATACTAATTATTGGCTTTGTGTATTGGCTAATTTTAAGCAAGAAGGTTTAACTATAATGTATATTGGACTTAATTAAATAATTGAAATATATTTTTAAAAAATCAAAATTTATTATCTTGAGAAAATAAAATTTTAAAGATATATATATATTTATTTATTTGTATTTTAGTATAAAAAAATAATATGAATCTAAATTATATAATTTATTAAAGAAATTAAATGTAAATTTGGAATTTTTGCATATGATTTATTATTTTATAATTTATGTTTAATATGTCTTTTTTAAAAATAATCTATGTTTAAAAATATTTAATATAATAAATTTTTTATAAAATATTTTATAAAATATTAAATATAAATATCTAAAATTCAAATAGTACAATAATACATTAAAAATGTTGATTTTTTTTAATATTGATTATTGTTATTCTTTATAAAAAAATAAAAATAAAATATTTTTCTTTTTTTTATTATAAATAAGTAAGTTCTTTTAATATAAGACATTACTTTATTTGTTTGTCATGAAAATAAAGATCATTATACACAATACATTAAGTGTCATAAATTAATTATAAAGTATTCAAACTAAATAAAAATGCAGAATTAATATACTCTTAAGGAAAGATAATGAATCTACACACAACTAAGTCTAGGTATCTTTTATAATATGAAAAGAAAATTTAAGAGTGGAAATGTGAGTAGAAAAAATCCTAAAGCTTTATTAAATGTCTAAATTACCAAAGCCCAGCAAATCTTTACAACACAAGCTTTCTTTCTCAAAATTACTCTCAGAACTTGACTTGACAAGAATATCAAATCAAAGAAGCTTCTCTATCTAAATCTTCAAATTCTAGTTGACACTAATAAAGTCAACCAATAGAAAAAGTCAAGTAGATGAAAAACCACTAAACCAAACTAATTTACATACATCCAACATAATTTGGCATCCAATGTTACATCAATATAGATACACGTTTTAATATTTTCAAGTAGGTCTAGTTGCAATGTTTGACAAATATGCTATCTTTGTAGCCAATATAATCTCAAATGAAGAACTTATGTTTGTTTCTTTTAGATGACCTTTATCAAAAATATCAATAGTTTTAGTTGCAAGCTTTGCTTGCAACTTAATCAAAACTTCCTTCTTTGAAGGCTTTTTGAATGCTTGAGCCAGCTCTAGAGATGACATAGATTTTTTATCTTCCAATATTTTATCAGCTAGTTAGAAATTCCATGTTGGTTTAAATTTTGGAGCCAATACACCAATACTAAAAAAAAAATAAGCATATTTAACACTTTGTAAACTAAAGTATATGTTCTATCTTTAATACTAGTATTTCTATCTTATATTGAAGTTGAAATAGAAGGTCTTGTTGTAAAACAAATATATACAAGGCCAAATAATAATGACAATCAAATATAAATATTAAGTTCTTTATGATTATTCTCATGGCTATATTGTCATGGACATATGTATTTACCTTGATAATTATCTAGATAATAAGAATAGACAAAAATAAGTCAAAGTGGATAAATATGATAATACCTTGTGGAAAGCTTCCTAAAAGCTTCATAGATGCTGCTTTGTCTTTATACATGTCTATAGGTGATTGATAGGTTGAAAACTTAGCCAACAAAGAGGCCATGTGTCGACATGTTAACCACTTGTAGTACAAGTTGGACATATGGCACACACCTAGGAAACTTGCCTTGCAAATTAGACATGTGTTCTATAAGTTGGATATGTATTAGGGGTCCTATAGCATGTCGCCACATATTTCTTAGTTAAGTAGTATATATAGAGGCAATAGTAAAGCCTTCATCACTCTTATCAACTCCTTTCTTGATTTTAGTCTAGTTTCAAGAGTCTTATGTATCCAGTCTTTGGCAATAGTCATTCCAATTCTTCCTTGAATATACATATTTTCTTCTATTTTGTCATTTTTCTTTTGACACAAATTCTACGAATTTATGTAACTTCTTCTAGTTTGTGTACTTAATAGATTGACAAGATTATACATATAATATCAATATTTTGTCCTTTCTTGATTAAGAGTGGATTACCTCTCTCTCTCTTAATAAGACATAAGTGTATTAGAAGTTACGGATTATCCTCTTTTAAACTAATATTGTTTCTAAAAAAAAAAAAAATCTTGATTCTTGAGTATTGTATTATGTGAGAATAGACATTTTTTTTTTTTTTTTTTTTTTTTTTTTTTTTTTTTTTTTTTATTGTGCTAGCATGGCAGAGCTTGTTGAAATGAAAAATGCAATGACTCAAATGCAAGAACAAATGAGAGAGTTAATGCTTACAATGCATCAACTCACTCTACCACCATAAGGAGCAACAAGATTATTAGGCGATGAAGATATAGAGATGATTGGAGTTGCTTCAACATCTATACCAAGCCATACTACTGCTCTTACAATGGAACATCATTCAAGTTTCACAGAACCAAAAAATGGATTGCTTGAGAAGTTTGATGGCACAAGATCTAAGTTTTGAGGATTCATCAATTAGGTATAACTAGTGATTGAACTACAACCTCAAAGTTATGCAACTCAAAGATCATAAGTGAGGTTTATTAGAATGTTACTTTCAAGTTTTGCTTTATCATGGTTTTCATCATTTTTTGAATGACATGATCCAATATTGGATAATTTGGAAGCATTTTTAGTGGAGTTTCAATCTATGTATGGAGAACATGATACAATCTTTGTTGTAACCAATAATATTCATATCTTCAGATAAGATAATCAACCAATAATATTATATGCTTCACAATTTTGATAATTAGCAACAAATATCAAATAGGATGATGCAGCACTCATCATCCAATTTCTCTAAAGATTACAATATGAGGTAAAGAAATTGATGCTCAATTTACTTGATCCTCAAACATTGAGTCAAGCAATTGACTTTGCTATGAAATGTGATAATCGACTTTTTGAATTTCAATTTGAGAATCACACAAGGAAACCTCAACGTTATTATAATTCAATAATGACACAAATGACTTTTCAATCTAAGCATTTGGAAATAGAAGACATGTAAATTGATGCAGTATGTTTAAAACCTCTTACCAAACAAGAAAAGACTCATCGTCATCAAGAACGACTATGTTTATATTATAGAAAAGCTAAGCACATTACTCAATATTGTCCAAAAAAACGATGCAACTATAAAATGAAGAGTACTACTATTAAAGATAAAAACAAGTCGAAAAACAAATTTGTCCTGCTACAGTAAAGACCATTTGGCTTGAATCTTGTACAATTCCTAATAAAGGTCCTATTCTCTCCTCAAAACCCTCTCTTTGTTTTATAATAGATGTGCTTTTAGGATCTAATAATCACAAAGCCTCTTCTTTAATAGATTCAGGAGCCTCAACTTATTTTTTAGATGAAGAATTTGTTAAAAGTCATAATATACAGTTAGTACAAAAAACAAAATTTGTACACATAGAAGTCATAGATGGTTGTCCGTTATCTTTTGGAGATATTATTCATAAAATACTTCTTATAGATGTAGTAATAAATGATCATAATAGTCATGTAATTTTTAATATAATTAGATCTCGATCTAATCCAATCATTTTAGGTTTATTATGGCTTAAAAAGTATAATCCTGTGATAGATTGGATTTCTTATAAATTTGACTTTTTTCAAATATCATTAAGAATTTTTCTAATTCAATAGAAAGCCATGAGTTTATTATAGCCAAATATGTATTTGTAAGTCCAAAAGCTTTTTTGCATGCTGCAAAAGAAGGATTGTCTTTTGTTATTTATGCCACATCCATTTTAAATGATGGAAAGATTTCAAGTGAAATTTCAAGTCAATATCAAGATTTATAAGATTTTTTTGAAAAAAAGAATGTAGATATTCTCTCAAAGTATCATCCATATAATTGTTCAATCGATCTTAAAGAAGGAACTCAGTCGCTATTTGGCCCAATCTATAGTTTATGACAAAATGAGTTGGTTGAACTCAAGAAGTACATTGATGAGAACTTGGCCAAGAATTTCATACGCCATTCAAAATCTTATGTAGGAGTCTTTATCTTATTTATGAAGAAAAAAGATAAATCATTACAAATGTGTGTAGATTATTAAGGACTCAACAAGATTACCATCAAGAATAAATATCCTCTATCTTTGATATGTAGACTTCTTAATCAATTAAATCAAGCTAAGATCTATATAAAAATAGATCTACAAGGAGCATACAATTTGGTGAGCATTAAAGTAGAAGATAAATAGAAGACTGCATTTTGAACAAGATATGGATTTTTTGAATATAATGTCATGCCTTTTAAACTCACAAATGTACCAGCTGCTTTTCAACATCTTATTTATGATGTTTTTCATGAGTTTCTAGATGATTTTGTTGTCTGTTTCTTTGATGACATTTTAATCTATTCTAAAAATGTA